TTCTCAGGAAAGAATAAAATAAAAAGAAGACTTACAAGTTTTATTAACTTAGCTCTTAAAACACAATAACTTAGCAAGCATCTTGTAACTTTATTGGATCAAATGTATATTATATAATAGAATATACTATAAGTAAATTGATTTATCTAACTGTATATATATTCCTATCTGATCTTTTCTTTATAAAAAAAAAATTCTTCTTATATTTAAAGATACAAATTATCCAGACAATATCAAAAAGTGTTTTTTTTATTATCCCTTTCATATCAAACTGACTGAACAAATGAATAATCTAAAGATTATATCTTTTTTGATTAGTAGGAGTATTTAACTTTCATATATAATTGAAATTTGATTAAAAAATAATTTTATCAAAGTAAATAAAAGAGTTTCCTATAGTATCAAAGTAATTAAGGTAAAGATAAATAAGTGATACTATCACTTGACATTAAGAGATATAAGATATTAATAGATAACATTTTATCAGTACCCCCACTTCACATGTGTTTTATCAAATCTTCTTTTCTCTATATGAGCTACAAAGTAACAAGCCCAGTAAGATCTAATCACCTTATTCAAAGTAAAACCATCTCAAAGTTAGATACTAGATACAAAACATTATATACATAACATATTTGTCTCAACTTTCAATCTTCAAAATGGAAACAAATCTTTTTGCTCCTTAGTATTTTTTTATTGAAAGATTTTTTTAAATGCTATAGCTCCCCATCCTTAAAATTTAATTCTTATAATTCTTTCTCTCATCATTTTCCTTCCACCTCACCTTTTTTATTAACATAACATACTAGTGGAACTCTGTGTACACTAGATTAGTTTGAATTGTAAAATTAATAGTTGAAGTGGGCAAACTATTTATTTGTGTAATTAGGGTATATAGTTTTACAAATTGCTTCGAAAACTATAATTTTGATTCACGTGATAATCAAAATCATCATGTTATAAACCGTCAACAAATTTTCGGAAACGGTAATAATGGCTTCTGAAGACACGAAAGATACAGTCACGGTTGGTGAATACTTGGAAAGACAAAAGAGCTTGGAGAAAGAAGCAGCAGAAGTTTTACCCTGGAACTTTGATAGCTGTACATATAACAAGGGATACTTGCGTCAGGCCGTGTATGCCTGCAAAACTTGTAAACCAAAGCCTGGTTTCGAACCAGGTGGTGTCTGCTATTCCTGTTCAATCGCTTGCCACGGAGGTACCTTTCTCTTTCCTTTCATTTTTGCTTAGCACCGGATATTCCTTTTTTTTTTTTTTTACGAGTCTCGGTAATTACAGATCACGAACTCGTAGAGCTGTTTAACAAACGCAACTTCAAGTGTGATTGTGGTACGACACGTCTCGGAGCGAACAAATGTCAGTTAGAAGCAAAGTCAAAAGACGCGTTAAACGAGCTAAATTCATACAATCATAACTTTGAAGGGCGGTTTTGTTGGTTAGTCTTAAAGTTCAAATTGTGATGGTTCCTTTCGCTTTTTATTTATAT